GCCTGCCTGGAGGGAGAGGGGGCACTTTTGCCATTTACCGTGTATAATTCTCTATTTTTATTTTTCCAATGACTGTGTATTGCATTACTTTAAAAAAACTTATTAATCTTAGTTAAAAGTTGTGAAACACGAAGTTAAACAAAATTGGACTGAAAGATAGCAGATATTAAAGGAAAGGAAGAAGGAAAGGAGAGGAGGAAGGGAAAGGGGAAGAAAGAGAGGTGCTCTGGGAGGGCGGTAGGTCACCCTCACACTGCAGGCGCCTCATGGTCTTGGTTGTTAAATGCACATGGTTTTCAACATGTGTCAAGACCATACTAGATATAAAAAGCCCTCATAAATAAGAAAAAAATGGACAGCATGAAGCGTTGTTTCCAAAGACCAGACCGTTTTCTATGCTTCCAATTTTAGTAGTCCAATTTACACAAAGGTTATCTTGCAGAGTATAACATTTATCAAAATACCTAAGTAAGACCAAACAAACATATTTTAATGAAACTCCAGAGGAATCTTTGTAATGAATAAAGTACAGTACTTTCTCGCCATCCTATGTTTAAATTTCTCATAGGGAAATAAGCAAAGTGTGAATTAAGGAAATAGTATTAAGAAATCTTCATTTTTATTTAGAATTCTGAATTATTAATTTACTTTTCATTTGACAGTAAATTATCTTTATATACCAGGGTCTTTTCTGTTACATCTTCTAGTGTCCCCATTTATAAGCATTAGAAGCACTGTTGTTAAGTGGAGAGGTTCTTTTTTATTTGATATGTGATGCATGGGGAAATCTGTTACTTCTCACCGTGTCCTTGGAATTCATGTTCTAAATTTCCACCCTGAAAGGCAAATACTGAAAAATCTTTGATGAGAGCTTTCTGAATGAGACACCTTAATACAAATGTATCTTTATTGAAGACATCAATATTGCAGTGATTAAACTTCTGACTTTTTAAAGTATGGCTTTCAGAGGTATGAGCCTAAATGTTTAATCTCCCCAACATTTCTATTGGAATTTCCTTCTGAAACACCCTCTAAGTCATCCCTTCAAAGCCAGTTTCATTTTATAACACAAGACTCAAAGTATCCAGTGAGCTCTGTTCTGTATCTAATCTGCTAGGTTCTATTTTTATCACACTAAAAAATTCCTAGGAAAAAGGAAGCCCTATGCCTCAAGTTTTAGGATTTACATGGTCCTCTGTACATGACCCTCTCCAGCATGGCTTCCATTTGCCAGCTCAGTATTGCTGGATTCTTCCGTTTTTCTAAAGATTAACTCTTGCAGTGCCAACGAGAAGAGCCACAACATTCAAGAAATAGTATTTCTGCATTCTGTTTTTGAATGTGTGTGTGTGTGTTTTCACAGTAGCTAGCCCCCCAGATCTGGATCTTAGACCCTGAGGTTCCAAGAGAAGACATCATTAGGGTCACCATGAAAAGTTCCGTGCGAGCTTTTTAAGCAATCAAGGACATAATCCACAGAGCAGTTGGGCCAGTTTTAAGACATTCTGGACACTAGGCTAAGTTTCCAGGGCAGGAGGCCACTATGACTCTTCACAGACTGACATCTTTGAAAGAAATAATTAGAAAAATAAACTGTTGTCTTTGAGTTTCGCCATTCCTACATTCCCAAGGGTTCAACCCCTTTTTAAAAGATTCTTAAAAAGGGAGGTTCTACAGCTTAGCTCTAATTCCTCACCATTGGAGAAGAATGCTCCCTTTGTCCTGGCCAAATCCTTCCCCCTGTAATTTAAATCCATCTCTTCCTGTTCAGAACAGCATGACGTCTCCGTACTAATACACTGGGCCTTCAGGGTCAGGAACAGATTATTGACAATTCAATCCAGTTTGGCAAATTGTCGCTGAGTACTGTATTCAATATGCCAATACTCAGTACTGCGCACAACTGCATGGCTGAAGTCTGCCGCGCAGCCGCGCTTCTGGGCAGAGCAGGGGCGCCAGGGAAGACGGGTAGTCGCGTCTGAGGCACAGGTTTGCTTGTGAGTTTCTGCTGCTCAAGTTTCAGGGATTCCCTTTTAAATTTCTCTGAGTGCCTTCCTGGCTCTACTTACTGTCTCTCTAATTCCTGTACCAACTAAATATCTTCACTGTCTCCTTCCATTTCCATGCCTGCCCTAGGAAGTTTTTTCAAGTTTTTGTTTCATTAACAACTTTGGCTGAAATTCTCCAGAGCCGAAGAACTGCATTTCACTTAGTGAGACACAAGAATCCATCCCCACAATCGCAAGGTTGCAGCTCAATCCACAGACTTGCAAGAGGCATCACTAATGCCCCTCATTTAGTCTGTTTATATTAGGATCCCATCTCTGCACGAGAAGCCACCAATAAATTGTCTGTAATGTGGTGCCATCACTAGCTTGTCCCAAAGTCCCCCTAGAGCTGTTTATAGACAGGTGGACGTGGCTGGGAGAGCCACATAAAACAGGTGCAATGGATGCATGAGTCCTCCAGTTGGTGGCAGTGGATGGAGAACTGGCAGTGGGGGCCCTCCGTGGGGGTGGAGAGCATATGTGTTGGCAGGAGCAGCAGCAGCAGCAGTAGAGGCAGCAGGAGAGAAGAAATGGAAAGAGTGTAGCTTTTAATGTATCACCAGCTTCTCTCCCAACCTCATGAAAAGATGTCATCTCCTTTTGGGCCTAAGTGGATCCTTCTAAGGGGAAGAGAGAGATCAAGCTCCTTAGTGTCTCTTCAAACCAGTACCTTACACTACTGAAAACTAGCGTTAGGTAGAAGTCCCTAAACCCCTTCCCAGCTAGCTCCGTGATGAATTGTGCAGTGTCAGGAGAGGAACTGCATTTAGCCTTGCTTGGCATGCGAGAGCTCCACGGTGGTATTTACAGGGAACACTCCCGGCGAGGTTGGCGGGACTGTTTTGCTGCTTCTCCCGGGCACCTGCCACCGCACTGGCAAAAATAACTTGGGATTGAAAGGCAGAAGTGGTTTACCTGTTAGTCTGTGCTCTCAGTATACCCCTGCTTACCCCACAGTGTTTTAAAACATCAAGCCCAGATCAGACACTTGCCCAGTGCCCAGAAAGATAGATGGCGCCTCACTCTGTATGTAGAACCGAGCATGCGGTGCTGAGGGGTAAGCAAATTATATGGGTCACTAAAAGTTGGCTTCCGATCTGGAACTAAAATCCAGAATTACAAACTCTAGTTTCTAGATTCTAGTTGCCAAACTCCCTTGCCCAAAGTTAAGGAGGAGGTATCCAAAATGTCCCCATGTGGTTGTCACAAAGCTCTTTGCCGTTAACTAGATACGTCATGGGGGGAAAATGAGATGCTTTATAATTGCGCTATTGTGGAGAGTTTGTGAGTAAATTGATGAATTTATTTTTAATCCAATTTTCATTTTGGTTTAGTATAATGTAAAATATTA